GACCAAGAAGGGCACACTGCAACTGTTCTGTGCTATATCATACACTGCATAGATACTTTCACTGTGGATAAACGTATTAGGATCTATCCCAATCAGAAGCTAATCTGAAGAAAGGTATTTGGAAGGCCAAGATTGATTGTAAGAGGAAGATTGAGGATAATTTTTATAGCAATAACATGAGGCAGGTGTGGCGGGGGATTCAGCAAATTACAAACCATCAACTGACCAATGTCATCCCTGCTGAGGGGGATGCTTCATTGGCTGAGGAACTGAATCATTTCTTTGCTTGCTTTGAAATGGAGACATCAGAGACAGATAAAATACAACCACTAGCCAATTGTAGCCCCCACCTCATTGTGGAGGAACAGGAGGTGAGCAGCATTCTGAGGACTGTGGACCCTAGAAAGTCTGCCGGTCCTGATGGTATATCTGGCCGAGTGCTTAAAGACTGTGTTGATCAGTTGGCTAGAGTCTTTACCAGGATCTTCAACCAGTCTTTATCCCAGTCCACTATTCCATCTTGTTTGAAGTCTTCCACCATTGTTCCACTGCCAAAGAAGTTCCCTATCAATAACCTCAACGGTTACAGACCAGTGGCACTCATTCCTATCATCATGAAGTGCTGTGAGAAATTGCTCTGCCGGCACATCATTTTTGGTCTTCCGCATACATTTGATAAACACCAGTTTACATACAGAAAAAATAGATCTACAGAGGACGCTATAGCCATCAGTCTTCACACTGCTCTGACTCATCTAGAACAGCAGGGGAGGGCTATATGAGGATGCTTTTTGCGGATTTTAGTTCTGCATTTAACACAATTCTTCCATATAGACTAATGTCTAAACTTCTGGACTTCGGGCTTTCTAATTCAATCTGCCTTTGGATTATGGATTTCCTGTCTGGCTGCTCACAGAGGGTCAGATTAGACAATCATACCTCTTCAGCCCTTATTCTAAACACTGGTGCACCACAGGGTTGCGTGTTGAGTCCCTTACTCTATACTCTTTATGTGCATGACTGCATTCCCACTCGTGCTAGTAATATTATTGCTAAATTTGCAGATGATACAACCTGCATCTCTGTATGGTTTGCCAATTGCACAGTGGCAGATAAGAAAGCACTCCAGAGGGTTAATGTCATTGCCCAGAAGATCACTGGTTGCCCTCTCCCCTCTTTGGAAGAGCTTTATAACTCCCACTGCCTTAAAAAAGTTCAAAACATTCTCAAAGATCCATCTCATCCTGGGAACTCTTTTTTTAAACTATTACCATCTGGCAGACAGTACAGAATAATAAAAACAAGGACGAATTGTCTGAAAAACAGCTTCTATCCCAGGGCAGTAGCTCTTTTGAATTCTGCTGTATAGTGCAGTGTTGGTGTGGTGTCGGGGGTTTCCGGTTCAATGTGTGAAGGTTGAAGGATGTGTGTTTGTGTTTATTTTCATGGTCATGGTCATGATGTGCACTGAAGATGGTGTTTCTTTTTGTTGTGTGAGGTGCAATGACAATAAAGTAAACTAAACAATTGAAAACTGATGTTAAAACCTCTGTCTTGGTTGCTGCTTTAAATTTAGAGAAAATAGGGACCAAACATAGCTCCTGAAGAAGCATTTTTCATAGTCATGTAGCAAAACAGAAGAAACTCCTTTTTGTACAAATAACTAAACGTAATCAGAAGGCATGGTGGCATAGAAGAGTCTACAGTGTGTGTGTGTGTGTGTGTGTGTGTGTGTGTGTGTGTGTGTAGATAGACAGACAGACAGAATGGAGCCTCTGAGTATGGAGCAAAGATGGGATTCAAAAAAATTTACTACGGGTTCCGTGGGCATGGCTTGTTTGCTGGGCATGACTAGGTGGGCATGGCCAACTTGGCAAGGTGGTGCGGTGTTGAGTTGGCCATGCCAACATGACCAATGCTGCAGAAACAGGGTGATTTCCTACATACCTTCCCCCCCCCCCCCCCGCCCTTGGGCTGACAAAAAAAAAGCCCAACTAAAAATCACGACTGCCTGCCAAGTTTGCCTGCCAAATGGGTTTTGTTTTGGGGTGGTTTTTGTTTTGTTTTTTGCCAGAAGCCCCTCGGAGATAAATTTGCACCACTAAAATATACTGTACCTTGTTGCAGCACTGCCTGTTGCTGCTGCGGGTGCTGCTGCAGCGGTCTGGCTGCCCAAGTTAAGAACCGCACCGGCTCAGGGCAACTATGAGGAGCAAGAGGGGAAGCCAAGACATTCTCCTAATAGCAGTCAACTTTGTTCTCTCTCACTCTGGTTAGGCGCTCCCGGTGTGCACAAGGAGCGTGAAGAGAGGCAGACTCCACGCAGATGCGTTTTAAAAGTCAAGAGAAGTTTGCCCAAGACTTGTCGTGAATTCAGGAGCTATACTGCTCCCAATGATGAGTTAGCGGCAATCTAATGAAAAGTCTTCCAGCTCTTAAAAGATTGACTTTAAGAGCACCCCCATGGAAGAAGCCGAGAATGAGAGCAAATGTAGTGGTGGCGGGGGTGACAGGGGCATGTGATGGATCCCTCCACGGTCCCCTCCTGGGTGACAGTCAGGGCTTTGGCACCTCCTCTTTTCTTCAGAGGTGTGGTGTCTGCCTCCCTTCACACTCCTTGTGAAAGGACACACAGCCCATCACCCCTGCCACTACTACATTTGCTCTCAGTTCTTGGCTTCTTCCATGGGGGCACTATTAAAGTCGACCTTTAAGTAGTCCCAGAACATCTGCTCGCTTGCACGGCACCCGCCCCCCTGGGGCACGCTTTCTTCTCCTGGTGGATGCACCCCTCCAGCCCGGCCCGCCAGCAGGTGACCACATGCCCCGGGGCTTCTTGCCCCCTCCTTGTCACGAGATGCCTGCAGCTGCTGCATGCTTTTTTCAGTGCGGCTGCAGTCCAGCAGCCACACCGAAAAAGCATGCCTTGTTCTATGTGCCGGGCCCGGCAAGTCCAAGCAACCGGCACATAGAACAGGGTAGTGCCAGACCCTTGGAGAAGCAAAGCAGAGCCAGACAACAGTAGCTGCCTCTTTCACAGCACAGAAATCCTCCCCAAATCGGCCGGCTGGTCTTCACTTTTTCCACCTGTTTGTTTTGTATGGCCGAGGAGGTGGCCAAAGGGGCGGCTGCTGGAGGCAACTCTTTTTCGGTCTCCAGCCCCCTTTTCAGCACAGAAATCCTCCCCGAATCAGCCTGTTGGTCTCCTCCTCCTTGGCCATACAGAACAAATAGGCAGAGAAGGAGACGACCATCCGACCAATTCGGGGAGACTTCTTGCACTGCAAAAGAGGTGGCTACTGATCTCCGGCTTTGCTCTGCTTCTCCAATGGTCCAGCACCGCCCTGTTCTATGCACCAACTTGATGGGCCTGGCACATAGAACAGGGCATGCTTTTTTCGGTGCAGCTGTGGGACATCCACCCAAGCTGCGCCATAGCTGCCACATAGCTGCCACAAGCTAGGGGCAGGGAGCGATTGGGCGATCACGTTGGGGGCGTAGCCACCGGTTCAGCAACCCACACCAAATCACCGCTACCAGTTCATGTGAACCGGTATGGACCAGTTGAATACCACCTCTAATATGGAGGCATCTGAAGAACAATCTGGCTGTAAACTATTTAGGATTATCACCAACAGTTGAAATTGTGCTCATAAAGGAATTGACAGTGATTTGGAAACGATATGGCACATTTCACACTAAGTACAATTTCCAGATTAATTTTGAGGACAGTCTCATAGAAAGATGTTGTGCTAATAAATATGAGGTTTGATTTATTTTATTGGATAATTTGTTGTTTTTTAACTTTGGCAAATTTAAGATGTATGGACTTCAGTTCCCAAAATGAATTAATTTATAAGTAGTTTTTGTCCAGATACTCAAGGTAGCTGTCATGGAAATCACTCTTCATTTTATCTCCACAATAAATCTTTGAGTAGATTGGGATGACAGAGAGTAAATGAACCAGTGGATTTATATATTTGAAAATGGAATTGAACTTGGGCCCAACAGTCTTAGATGAACGTTTTAACTGTTATAACGCATCAATTGGCATTGATAGCTATTGACAAATCCAGTCTGGCTTAGAGCTGTAAAGCAGGGTCTCCAACTGCGCTCTGTTTGGAACTGAGCCATGCAGGTGCTGGAGCGAGCGCATGTATGGGCATGAACTTCCCCTCTTGCAAGTGGTGACCGCTTGGCATTGTACAAACAGCAGCTGCTTGCCCTCACAGCCTCCTGCAGCCCTCTGCCAGTGAAAATGGAGCTCCATTTTTGTTGACAAAGGGCAACAAAAACAAACTAAAAACAAAACAAAGGAGAAATGTTTCCCCTTTTGCATCTGAGCATGCAATAAGGGTCAGGAAAGGAGAAAAGGAAAGAGGAAAGACAAAGAAAAAGAAGAGAAGATGGGAAGAGAGCAAGGAAGGAAAAATAAGGGAAGAGGTGAAGGAAGAAAGGAGAATTAAGAAGGAGGGAAGGGAGGGAGGGAGGGAGGAAGGAAGGAAGGAAGGAAGGAAGGAAGGAAGGAAGGAAGGAAGGAAGGAAGGAAGATTATAATGAGGGTGGGGGATGGTCTGAGGAAAGTCCTGCCTTAGCACTTGGCCACACAGGCACCCCCAACACAAGTGACGTTGAACTAGCCATGCCCACTCCAGCCCCCTGAGGTCAAACGCAACCTGATGCAGCCCTCAATGAAATCGAGTTTCACACCCCTGATCTAAATGTTCAGCAACATTGGAAAAGGCAAGTTTTTTCCATTCCCCTTCCTTCACCAGCCTTTTTATACTGCTTGGATTTCTTAGTGAAGGCAATAGGTTAATTCAATGAAACAATCATCTATTGTTTCTTTAAAACAAAAATCCCAGAGTGGTAAATAAGCAATAGCTAATGCAGTAAATTATAACCATTGCTTTTATATTGTACATTAAAATTGTTCCTCCAATCCTTCTGTCTTTCTAAATTATAATTTCATCCATGATTAATATTTTTCTTTATTTTAGGGATACCTTTGCTTGCCATACATGGCACTGCAACAGCACCACCTTCTATCTGATGTAACAATCCGCGGTTTTGTTGCAGGAGCCACCAATATCCTCTTCCGTCAGCAGAAACATCTAAGTGATGCTATTGTAGAGGTGTATATTCTTTCCGTTATAATTTCTTATAGTAATTACTTCATGGAGCAAAAGACAACTTATGTATTACAAGGTTCTAATTAAAAAGTTTCTTAGATTTTTATAAAAAAATATTTGAGATTTTGGAAAGCAGTCATTTTATAATCACATGGCATACAAGTGATATATTTCCTTATGTGTTTAAAAGTGTGTATGTTATGTGCGTATATGTGCATGCATGCATGCATACAAGTGTAGATAAGATTCTCTTTGTGGATAAATTTATCAATAATAGATGGTAAACATGTTTAAAAAATATTTTCAAGACTGCATTTAGTCACTGTTGAAATGCCAAAATTAAACTAATGGACCTTTCTAATCAAAGATCTAAAAAAAAAGATTGTATTAGGAGCTAGTTAACACATTACAAATCTATGTATTGTTTCTTAAAGTAAGCTTTCATAACTCCTTGTAAATCATTAATACTTAAGTCTCTTGATAGTTACTATTTCTTGGAGTGCTTTTAGTTACACCAGATTTCTACTTCTTGGTTTGATAGAATTAGATGTGAGCACAGGAGAATCAGGTTGCCTGGACTACAATGAATTTGTGATGCATTCTGAAATCTTTCCATACAAGATGAAAAAGGTGTCTTGCTTACTTTTAGAAATTGGAATAAATAAGTACAAATGATTGCATATGCTATTAAACTCAGAAGCCAACATAATCATTTACATTACATTATGTATGTATTTGTGCCCAATAATATATCACTAGATATTAATTACAGTATAGCTTTTGGTAAGATGGAAATAATATACCTATGTTTATGATTACAGTTTGTGTTGTTTCAATCACCATCTCTACCCCAAAGTTTTTTCACTTTGAATTGTTCTCAATCAGATTGAGGAAGCTCTTGTCCAAGTCCATGATCCAGACCTTAGAAAAGTCTTAAATCCTACAACAGCTGACCTGAGATTTGCAGATTTCTTAGTGAAGCATGTAACTGAAAACAGGGATGATGTCTTCCTGGATGGCACTGGCTGGGAAGGAGGGGATGAATGGATTCGAGCCCAATTTGGGTTATATCTCCATGCCCTACTTGCTGCTACAGTACAGCCAGGTAAGTTCTGGAATATTTTGATCTGTAAATTTAAACAATCTTACAAAATACTTTGTAATTGTCCAGGAGAATCTAGAAAAGGAAAGTCAAAAAAATCCAGAGAGTAGGATATGGCCAGCTTAATTATTGATTGAAAGACATTTCCCTGTTAAAAAATATCGATCATTTATATATTCTCATGACTAATTAGTCTATGAGTTATTGTGAAAATGGCTTTTGAGAAACTAAATTGATTGAGCACAAACTATGGGTGGCATTGAGACATAATACTTCAATGTTCTGCACAAGTTCATCTCAACTGCCCTTGCAATCTAGTCTTGAAATTTTTGTCTTCACTGGATTAATCGAGATTTAGTCATGGTTAAAACCTCTGGAGTAGACTAGCTGAAATTGATTAACTGTGTTATGACTAACTTTTCCACTGATTTCAATGCATATGATCTAAATGTTAAATCTGTATCTAACCATTTCATTTGTAATCCTTACCAACAAGGGTCTGAAGCTTAAAGAAAAGGCTAGTTTTTCTCTGAGAGCAACACAAAATTCACACTAGTAAAAATTAAAATATTGTTAAAACTCTTTCTAAATAGTCCTATGCTGAGAGAGATAATGCTCAGGATACATGAAAAGAAACTATATTTAGTTCTTCAAAACCAATTGAATAATTGCAAAACTCCTTTTCCTGGATATTTATATTCTTCTGGATGGAATAATGGGTGATTTGAATTTTGTAAAGTAAAATTGATGTGTTTACTTTTTTGAGTGAAGATACATTTATACTTTCGCTGATTACATTTGAAAAATCACTCTAATCCCATTTCTGTTTGGGTAGGGAGCCATTAACAGTAGCCCTTTCAAAGAAGAAACTACTTTTAGTAGCACTTGTCATCTGTATAATTTAGAATTAAATCATGCATGTTTTGGAATATGCAGGAAAAATTTGGCATAAAAAGAAACTATCAACTTTTTAACCATTTTGTTCCTTGACTAGATATTTCTGTATCCATCAGTCTTATGATAGTTTTATGCTATTGAGGAAAGGAAAAAAGAAGTCTTGCCCTTTAAATAATAGGCAAAGTTCTTTCCTTTTTTGGATTCAAATTTCCAGGCTGGGAGAAATGCAAAATGATTTGGTCAGCTGCTTGGAAGTCAGAATCAGTTTATTTATAGGAAGGCAGGTAAGAAATCTGACAGTGTTCCTAGGATTAATCTAATAAGTGAGTAGAAAAACCTCTCTTTTATACACTTCAGGTTCTTTGATTTGTAGGCGTGAATCTTTGAAGACTTTGATTTGTGTGTGTTGAATTTCTGTCTCTTTGGGATCTTGGTTTTATGGTCCTGGTCCTTTGTAGTTGCTTGTTTGCTATCATGTTTCCTTCCTGCCATGCTTTTTGGTTTGCTTTTCACAAGTTTTTATAACTTGCCATCTATTATATTTCTATGGGAAAAGATCTTAGCTAGTTTGTAGGGTTTTTTTCTCTGTATCTCATGCCTGTAATTTTCTCCTTCCTTTGTTGTGAAAAGTAAGCTGACTCCAGCTGTTTGAATAGCCCTATTTGACAAAGGGTGGGGGCTGTTTCCTTAGAAGAGGGGGGAATCATAACTTCCAACACTATCACGGTGAAATAAATTTCTTAATATATTAAATTCTAAATTCAAGTTAGCTTTGCCTCCTCCCTATTAAAGGAAGATTACATAGAAAAAAAATAATCTGTCTTCAGCAAATCTGAGATTGCTCTTCTATTTCAAAATTAGCCCTTTAGAAATAAACTAGTATTTCACTGAGGAGAAGGTATATATTCTTTTATTGCTTAAGAACAGACCACAATCAGTAGGTATACCTAAAGGATAGAAAGTATTACAACCCAGTCACTTTGCTCATTTTATTTAGCAGATAGTGAGAAAATATTGTCTGACTTTGGAACAGCCTTCGTAGCAGCTTGGAAGAATACTCATAATTATAGAGTGTGGAACAGTAATAAACACCCAGCCCTTGCAGAAATAAATCCTAGGTAAGATTATATCAATTTATATGGAAATGAAAAAGTTATGGTGATAGTGATAAACTTCTCATAATTTGGGAGTGTATTTGCTTAAAATCATTGGTGGTAAAATCTTCTGTTTCTTCCGCTGAGAAAGATTCTGCAAAGTTATTCCTGATTTGTTGAGCTCAAGTAATAAGCCAGAAAGTGTTCAACTTCCTTTGTCCTTAATAGTACCTAGCTAATTACTGAAGCAGCAGGATTGCCGGGCATCAGCTGTTTAACACACAGGGAGAGAGTGCAGGATTGCAGGAGAAGGTCAGTAGCAAACCCTCTGTGTGCAGGCAAAGCGTGCACTCACCAAACCAGTTGTTACACCGGTTGAATCACATCCCTGGTTCCCAAAGACAGGAAATACCTAGATTATTGATTCCTAAGAAGAGGGGAGGCAAAATGTTTTAATGTATCCCATTTCACACAAAAGTAATGGTTCATAGTTATAACTGAGAAAGTATATGAAATGGTTTGTCAGCTTACCTTTTCTCTCTCTCTCCTGCCCTACCTCACTTTTCAGTCATCCATTCCAAGGACAATATTCTGTTTCTGATGTAAAATTAAGATTATCACAGTAAGTATTGCTTATGTTTTTAGTCTATTATTCAGTTATGGCAGTGTTGGCTTAAAAAGTGAAATGGATTGATCAATGCTCAATATTTTATGAAAAATTAAGAATTTTTTGAAAGATTATTCAGATACTTCTAAATAGGCATATAGACCAAGTTTTAAAACTATTTAGAAATAAAAATAATGTTCAAATTCCTGGAAGCATTCTGAGATTGAAAAAGCAATAGATTGAGTTTCAAGCAGTTCCAAAATGGAACAAACAATTTTAAATTCAAAATATTTCAAATTCAAAATATCTTACCATTCTAGTGCTAATTATCTGCATCATAAATTAATACTTCAGTTTACTTATGCTTAATTGATACTCTTAAACATTCATATCATCATCATCATTTTAGCCATTGTCCACTGCATAATGAAGGCCTCTTCTGCATGTTTCCATCTAATACAGTCCTGACCTTTCTTTTGCCAGTTGGGCCTATAATTAATACTATTAAACATTACATACATGAAATTAGCAGAAACCAGTAAGACATGCTATTTTATTTCTTAATTTAGTTCTGTTCAGAACAGTGAACGTAGTAAGAAGATTGGAAATGCCATGGTTACCACTAGTCGAAATGTTGTGCAGACAGGAAGAGCTGTTGGTAAGTGATCCTCTTAACTAGAATCAAAGTGCTACAAATTCAGTGGCTGGACTATGCATCCTATTAGGCAGTGATGAAATTTATATGGCTAATGGCTTAGTGTTATATATAAACCCAGACAATTGACTTTTATTCCGGCTTGCAAACAAGAGACTGGGGAGAAATCTTCATTCCGCAAAATATCCTTCCTTTGGCCAGCTTTAAAATATTGGTTTTTTGCTGAACCATAAATTCAAATTTTACCAAAAATATTTTTTAACACAGGAAATTCATGAACCATTTAGGTCCCACATAATACCAAAAACCAAACAAACATTCCGTAGCAAATTAAAATATAAGGATAAAAGAATATATATGTAAAAGAAGAAGCAGGCATCCTGCGATCTCCAAAACTAAAAACTATATTTGTTGTACTTACTAAGCTTTTGTCAGCCTCTGTTGACATCGTCAGAGTATTAAGCTACCATTATAGAGACTCTGTCTTTACATATCATTAATCAATTTAGCCCTTGCACACATAATAGGCTCTTCCAACAGCCTCCTATCTGTAATTAACTTTTTTGTTTGGTCATGTTAGTCAAAGGAGGCTTATCTCTTGTTGTTGGTTCCTACCTTGTCAGATCCAGCCTGGAATGCTTATCTCTATGAGGGATGTTAACCTGCCAGTTATTGCAATTTGTTGCTTTGCTCGTGACCTTGTGGTCGGCCTGGCTCGTTCTTCATTATTTCTGTCTGTTATAACTTGAGGCAGCTCTGCCAGACTCCTCTCTATTTGGACAGGCCTTTGTACAAAATCCTTGCTTGAGATTGTGGTTTGGAGTCAATGAAATCATGCAAGCAATATCAATATTTACAAAGAATAAGGAAGAGATGCATACATGCACCAGTGCCATATAATTTATAATTAATGATTTAACAATACTGATGAAGAATCATGAAGCACACATGCCTAAGTATTGCAACACTTTGCTGTAAGCTGACAATGACATTATCATATTCAATTCTACAGGTAGTCCTCAATTTACTACCACAATTTTTTAAATATATTTTTATTGTTTACAACTATAAATATCAAACACAGTACAACCATTTTGGCATTATTCTGCCATACATACAAAAATATTATTAAACTATTAGCATTCATATTATTGATACAGTATTTTCATTCTAGATCTATTCATTCTAACTATTTTTGTTCCGACCTTCCCCTCTTTTTTGCAACCATTGATAAAACTTACTCCAAATATCATAATATTCTGATTCCCCCTTATTTTTCAATGCTAAAGTTAATTATCAGATTCTGCATAGGCACTTATTTTCCTTATTATTTCTCTTTCTGGTGATATATTTTTGTTTTTCCAGTATTGTGCATAGACCATTCTCACCGCTGTATATTATACCTTTGCTGTAGCTTTCTGTCATTATTCCTAAGAGAAATAGTTCTGGCTTAAATTGAATATGTTCTCCCACCATTTGCTCTACCCATGTCTGTATCAGTCATCAATATTTTCTTGCGTGGTTACATGTCCACCACGTATGCTAGAATGTACCTGGCAAATCCTTAGTTTTTGAATATTTTGGCAAGCCTTGCTGGGGGAAGATGCCACCTGTAAAACATTTGTATAGATTTTCCTTGTACGCTGTGGCCATTGTTAATTTTCTATTATTCTCCCAAAGATTCTGCCATTTAGCCAATTCAATATTATATCCAAAATTTTTGGCCCATGCCACCATTGTCTCTTTGACATGCTCTTCCTCCAATTTATATTCTAATAGATATCCATATAGCACCTTAATTTACTACCACAATCGAGCCCAAAATTTATGTTGCTAAGTGAAATATTTGTTAAGTGAGTTTTGCCTCATTTTATGACTTTTCCTGCCACATTGGTTAAGTGAATCACCGCAGTTGTTAAATTAATAGCATGGTTATTAAGTGAATCCAACTTCCCTATTGACTTTGCTTGTCAGAAGGTTGCAAAAGGGACTCTGCCACCATCATAAATGTGAGTTTGTTGTCAAGTATCAAATATAAATCATATGACCATGGGGATGCTGTGGTCATAAGTGTGAAAAATGGTCATAAGTCACTTTTTTCAGTGCCGTTATAACTTTGAAAGTTCATTAAGCAAAATGTTTTAAGTTAAGGATTACCTTTATTCCTAAATTGGATTATGTAGATAAGAAGACTTGACTCCCTATTATCATAATTCTCTGGTTATTAATAAATCAAAGACTATGGGTTTTTTTAGAAAATGACATTGCAGTCATAAGTGGCTTTAAGGAACAGTCTTCTCTAGACTGGATCTTGGCTCCCTCATCATCAAAGGAGCTCACATAAAGTGAGAACACATGTAATTTTTTTTGTTAAAATTAGTAAATCACTGTTATTCATATTTTTAGCCATAATTATTAACGTATACCAAGACAAAGGTACTCCTATACTCCCTATATAGAATTCAAATAAAATGTACAAATTATGGAGCACATACAATACATGAGAAGTATTTTGTATGTGGCTAAAAGGACCTCAGTTGTTGCAGTCAGAGCCACATTGGGAATGTGTTTTCTAAAATCAACGCACACAATTATTGCACCAAAATCAATGCTAGCAGTTATAGTGGCCCAGTGGTTAGAATGCTCTATTGCAGGCTAATTCTGCCACAGCCTGGAATTCGATCCTGACCAGCTGGAGGTTGATTCAGCCTTCCATCCTTCCTAGGTTAGTAAAATGAGGGCCCAAATTGTGGGGGCTATATGCTGACATTTGTAAATTGCTTAGACAGTGTTGTATAGCACTATCGAATGATATATAAATTTAAGTGCTAGTGCTATGGAAACTGACAGACTTCCAAAATTATGCTTTGATAGTACAGACTGAATTTCAGCTAGAGAACTCTTTGAATTGTTTCCTATTTTGGATAATGAAACATCTGCAAGAAAACAACCAAGCTCAGAGAGTATCAAGGACCTCTCAACTGTTGAACTACATAAGTCACAAACTGTATCAGAAGTTGTGGTCTTCCTGTTTCTTATCCACCTGTCTCTGGGAAACAAGAAGACTGCTGCCCAAGAATCTTGAATATATTGTAAAAGCTCAGAGAGATATAATTACCTTCAGTTCATTGAAGACCCTCAGCTTTTATAAAGTCATCTTCCAACCTGCAAAATATTTAAATATAGAAATGCCCAAGCATCGTAGTGGTCTATTTCTCCAGCAAAATTTCAGCCGTTGTACACAATGATTAAATATTAAAAGATTTTTTACCAAGTACCATATGACAAGGGTATTATGAAATAAAAGAGACTTCTGGTCATAACTCATATATTATTTGAATGCCAATTGTATAATAGAAAGAGAGATCAATATCCCTGTCTTTATTATCTAATAAAATAATTATCCAGATCAATATCTTAGATATATTTTTTAAATGGCTTATTGGGATCCATATATTAAAACAATATATTTCATGTGTGGTAGGAACCCAAATACTATGTATAATATGGTCCTTTATTCAACCACAACAGTACAATTGAGAACTGTGAGGATGTGATTATGGTAAATTATAAAGGTGATGCAGAAATATGATTTATATATCCTTTTAATTCTTTTATTTATTCATTCATTCATTGCCTAAATTTATATAGCCACTCAAATATGTAATGCTGAACAGCATACACAGCACATATAAAAATAATAAAACAAAATAAACACACAACAATTTAAAAGTATTGAAACAATAATTATTATTTTTAATCCGTAACCTGTGTGGAAGCGTGCACTTATTTTTCTAACAATACTGCTACCTGGCAAGCTCCATAAACATATCACTGGCTACCCAGATCAAATGGCAGCCATGTTTTCAACCCTTTTGAAGGTGATCAAAATTAGGGCCAGTATGAACTCTGGGGAATTAATGTTATAGAGCAGGTGTCCCCAATCCCCTATCATGCCTTGAGCCATTTGGAACTGGGCTGCGGATGTGAAAGTACTGAAAACTCTGTTACAGGTATTTCTGGCTCTCCATCAGATAATGTTCCTTTATGGACTGGACCTGTGACATATCTTTCCCACCAGAGTTGATGGGATTGATGAGATTGGGGAGAAGCAGTCCCTCAAATAACTCAGCTCCATGCCATGCTTACTTTTATTTGGTTACCTGTGGTCTTATTGTTTTATATTTTATATTCTGATATGGCCTAATGGTTACTGTGATGAATAAAATATTATTATTCAGCCAGAAGACATATATTCTTAATCTATTTTTTTTTCTCCCATTCCCCCTCTTATTTTGTTTTAATACAGGTCAGTCAGTTGGAGGAGCACTCACCAGTGCAAAATCAGTAATGTCTTCATGGTTTTCTACTTTCACCCAATCCTCTCAAAGCCCTGGGGAATAATTCTTCTGGGCCAAGATCTTACATTTCTTTTAAAAAATCAAAAACCTTTGCTATAAAAGCATAGGCGCTTGAATTCAAGCTGCATGAAGATGAGCTGCACCACATATAATTTGGCAAATGTTTTTATACTCCTTTGCTTTCTTTTTGAACCTTGTTACACCTTTATTTTTTATTTTGGAGGATGGTGATCTATGTCAATTTAGCTTTTTCAAATTAAATTGTTCAGCATTGTTTTTAAGAGTTGAATTATATTTCAGTATGGAACATGATAGTGCATATGGAAATAATATTTCAACATTTAATACATAAAAATATATTCAATTTGTATTTGTAATATCTTTTCCATTCTGCAAGTCCAATGTGCAGAATTTTTTCCATATATATGGAATATATTTCCATAAATGTGTTACAAATGGAAGTAATTGTCAGTGGGGTAATGTGAAATTAATGAGATTTAAATTAGTTAACTTTTCACACTGAATAGTTCTAACTACTGTTTTTGTTAATGGGAATGTAATGCAATTTCATGTTATATTTAAGTATCTCAATCTAAATACTTCTAACAAATTATCTACCTCTCCTCAATTAAGCTCTTTTTTTCCATAGCTTCTATAATATTTTATAGTCAGCATGTGTTAACTAGGAATTTTTGCTTCATCTATATACACGTACATTATGTTTAACCTTATTCAATCATTTTGGGGGAAAAAAGTAGTCTCACTGATGCCTATGAAAACATAATATGACCCAGTTTAAAACAACAACTTAACAAAATATTTACTTTGGGACCATTTTCATTTTGAAATAATCCCATTGTCACAATTGGTCATTCTCCTTTTCAGAGTTGATGTAATGGTAATGCATAGATTGTTAACAAAAATTATGACAGCTGTAAGTAGATTATTTATTAGGTTTCTAGACATCTGAAGATTAAAATTACTAGTACATTATTTCTTTCTTGGCTGCATTTGATCTTGTTTACCATAATCAGATTTTTGTATTCTGAATTTAAGAGAAACATATGATTGTATTTTTCTAAATAAATTTATTTCAAATATATTCCTAGTTACAATTAATGTCCACGATTTCCTTATAAAGTAGGAATGAGAATGCCTGTTATCAAATTTGTACTAGCAACATTCTTGTCTATTTACTGTGCTGTGTCAGTTCTGAAATTAGATATTTAATTTCTGCAATTGCTTTAATGATTGGCTATATTATCTGGAGTGAATGGAAATTCTAATTAAAGCTCCATCATGAAAACTTGTTCTATAATATTGTTCTTATAATATAGATTAGTTTATTGTACAATAAATATCTAATCTATTCCAATTTTATGAAAACTAGTAACCAGTTTTGGCACCCCAAGCATCCATGTACTGTCTTTATAAAGATTAAATAGAATATTTTATAGATATATTGCTGCATAATGTAATATATGTTTAGAAAGGGCAGCTAGTTCCATTGGAAAGAAGCTAATTGCTGTTTCCAAACATTTTGATAACTGAAATGCAATGAATATCGTGATTTGTCAAACAACTGTTCTTTTAATAGTGCATTACTAGAGTAAGTTCTTAAAGTACAATTCTGTTCTGCACGTATAACTGTTAACAGGGTTGTCAAAGAAATATTTTATCACAAGAACTTGCTGTAATCCTATCAATAAAATTGAATTTACAGATAGCTGGACAGACTATCCAGCTATTGACTAGAGTTTAAGCACAATGAAAGTACCATATTTTTCAGATTATAAGACACACTTTCCTCCCCAAAAAAGTGGGTGGAAATGTCTGTGTGTCTTATACAGCAAATAGGGGCCCATTTTTGGCCTCCCAAAGCCTCCGTGTTCTGTTTTTGCCCTCCCCAGCGTCAGACTCTGCAGGCCAAAAACGGGTGCGTTTTTGGCCTCCAGAGGCCTTTGCTCCCCGGCATCAGGGAGGTCAAAAACAGGACCCACAGAGGCCTCCAGAGGCCAAAAACAGGCACATTTTTGGCTTGCAGAGTGCTTCTGGACATCGGGGAGGGCAAAAATGGGATTCACGCAGACAAAAAAATTATTTTCTTGTTTTCCTCCTCTAAACCAAGGTGTGTCTTATAGTCTGAAAAATACAGTACTTGTAGTAATGAATAATTAATTTTGAACAAAAAAGTGGAATAGAAATCAAATACACTGTAAAGTAGTTGCTTTTGAATTTTAAATGCTATCATCACATAACTTTGGTTTGATTTTTGTTCTGGTTTGGTTTATTTTGATTGTTGGGAGTTTGTTGATTATATACACTTTTTACATAGAAAAATTACAGCTTTTTGAAACAAAGGTGACAATCCCATGCAAGTATTTATAATATATGCATTCTAAAAGTTAGTTCACATACTGAGAATTTAAGAAGAAATATTTAACCATATCGGTAAAGCTAAAAAGTCATCATGTATCAATTTCTGATCCTTTATGCATAAATCACTGATTATGATATGACTCCAACATATCTTTTTAATGATGGGACTGATATTTCAAATTATGTTGCTTCAGTGATACATAAAAATGCAATTAATATGAACAGTGTATCTTTGTATTCCAGCCAATAATGACTTCTGTTCTGGAATTTGAGCCTTGGGTACAATTCTTTAAACTCCATCAGTAGGAAGTGAAAATTAAAAACTAGGTTTTACTTAAAAAAACACTAGGATTTTATTTTAGCGTGTCAGTTTATCTACCTAGTGTATTCCTGTGGCATTGTCATTCATTGATAAGTACTACACAAATGAAGTTTATTCTTCCAATTCCATTTTTAATTCCTTATTTTGATGTTTTTACTATTGTGCAGATAGATCTTATAACTAAAGTCTAATTTAGCTTTCATTGTGTCTTATGAAATGGTTTATATCATCAAATGGATCTTATTTTATTGTGACACGGAATGTGTTTGTGACTCAAATATATGATAAAATGAGTAAAATGAGACACTCACGCTTTTTTCTACAGATAGGAAAAAATGTGAAAATAAAAGTTGCATGTAAAAGGAATAACTGTGTGCAATCAATATGCCATGAAATCTCCAGTTTCTGAATATATTATATGTACCCAATCTTACTGTGCGAACAAATGATCAAGAACAGATAATGCGAGTATTTAATAGATATTTTGAACATCATGTTGATGCTACATATGCATGAACAGGTTAGGATCAGACTTACGGTCTCTTGCTATTTTGAAGTATTTTTGTTTTAGCACTGGGATTTTCTACTGTGAAAATATATATTTGCATCATACACAACAGATAACTAATATTAGTTTTTAAAACTTTTTTCAAGCATTTAGAAATGTGTATCATATTACAAAATGAAATAAATACTTAAACCTCTTATCTAATTTATAAGTCATTAGAATCACAAAATTAACTTCTGGACATACAAACATAGTTGTCCAATCATGAGTTAACTGAAGTGAAACATAATAGTAAAAATTAATTGAAAGCAACCCATTATCAGTTCTAAAAAAATAAGTATATATTGGATGAACAAAATAATTTATTTTTAAGGTATCTGAAGACATGTTATTTGGATAATATACTGTAACAAAATATGGCACATAGATTTCAGTACAAGTCATTATTTTTGCTATGTAGAAACATTAGGAGCAGATTTCACATGAGAAATTAACAGCGCTAAAAGCTTCTGAACTGATGAAATTTGTGTTATAAAGATAACAAAAATTAAAAAAAAGTGAAACGCTAAAAGTGCTTTACACTTTACCATCTCTAATGTTCTTCGGTGGATACAAATTTTAATATCCCCAAAATCTTTTTCTATTGAACATGTATGATGATATAGCTAATGGAAAATGCTTATTTTGTCTATGAAATGACAATAAAAAATATAAAGTCCACAAAACATTTTAAGTCTTATCCTCAAGGACAGGAGTGTCAAACTCAAGGTCTGCAGATCTGGCCCACCAGGTGCTTAGATCTGGCCCACGGGGCTACCCTGGAAACTGGGAAGGACCAGCCCATGGTGCCTCTGCCAATGAAAATAGAGCTTGGGAGTGCTTCACACCACTCTTATGGGCTCTGTTTTTGTCAGCAAAGGGCTGTAAGAGGCCATCGCAGCTGAAAAGAGCCCAGGAGGACTGTGTGCAGCCCTCATGAGCTCAGTTTTCGCTGGCAGCGCTAGCAAAACAAACTGCTAACAAAACAAACTACTAGCAAAAGTAGCATATGATCACAGGAGTGACATTGAGCTAGCCATGCCCACCCTGGCGCCCCAAGATCAAACACAAACCTGATGCATGAAATAGAGTTTGACACCCCTGCTCTAGGCAATTTAGAAAATAACTGTTTTATCTCTTATTTTGCTTTTGCCTTGGTATCCCATTCTACTATAGCCTGAATTACCATTTAAGTCAGGGGTGTCAAGCTCAAGGCCCATGGCTCAATGGGCTGGATCCAGCCCACAGGGTGCTTAGATCTGGCCTGTGGGACCACCCTGCAAACAGCAAGGGACCCACCCACAGTGCCTTTGCCAGCCAAAACAGTTCGGGAGGGCTGTTTGTGGCCCTCAGAGGCTTCATTTTCAGCCACGACAGTCTCCAGCTCTCTGCCAGTGAAAAGCTCGGAGGGACAACATGCAGCCTGGGCAGGCCAAGTGATGTTGAGCTGGCCATGCCCATACTGGCCACACCACCCTGGCTCCCCAAGATCAGACACAACCCTGATGCAGCCCTTAATGAAATCGAGTTTGACACCTCTGATTTAAGTGTTAATCATGGTTTCAAACTTTTCTTATACATACTTGCTATAAAGCAGTTTCAGGTGCATATTTTTTAAAAAAACCTTATGCTGTTTTGCTGTACAGACGCACCAGAATCTTAGATAATTTCCATAAAAATAAAGATCCTAATTGTATATACACCCTTTACAAGTTTATGACACCAAATATTAGCTCCAAACGTCCAGGTAAGCCACCAAAGACTAAGGACTGTAAAGTAGGTGGGCCTAATCACATATAGGCAGAACTCTTTGGAGAGTATTTTTTAAAATAGATGTTCCTGGTTTTGAATTTACATACTATACCATATCATTTGTTCAAAATGGTGTGACAGTTGAGTTTAGTTACCATGATCAGATGCTCTCAGGTTGACAAAAGGATAACATACCTGTATACAACTAGATCCTTGTCTAAGAATTTTTCAAATGTTTTTGAGCTGAGGAATCTGATGGTTTTAAAAAAAAAGCTATAATCCCTGATCAAGAGTATTACTCAATATTAGATGTTACATGTCTTCTTTTAAATTTAAGATTGCAATTTATATCTATCTAATATATATATATATATATACACACACATACACACCCTCACACAAATTTATGAGTACAGATTAGCATAATCTCAATGCCTCCCTTCCACAGACAATTTTATATTTACATTTTTACAGGGACAAAACCAAAATCAAAAGGAGCCCAAATTAAAGAACAAAAGGATCAGCCATATTTACTACTTTAAATCAAATGCTTCTTAAAGGGAACTATTATAATCCAACACCAGCATGCTCAAGTATAAGATACCTACCTTATACAAGTTTCTGTGACCATATATTGTAACTTCTGCCATTCCTCCTTTTAATGTAAATCTCTTTAGCTGGGTTTGTTTTGTTTTTATTTTCCAAGCAGCAAGAATTGGCTTATTCAGTGATCATGAAAAAGTATTCTAATTAGTGCTATCACAACTCTGAAAGTTTTGCTACCGCATTCCATCCTAACCAAAATAGATAATTTCAAAAATAGAAAGTTTTTAATAAGCTCTTGAAGAATGAGTAATTGACTCAAAAAGGGACGATAGGTTCTAAATGCTTCTGATTCCATTCTCAAAATTGGCTGATACAATCATATAATTTCTATGATTTGGGCCGAATATCAGTTTTCTAGTTTTTGTGATGTCTCCTATGAATGATGGCTTATCCACGTCTTCTCGAGGCCTCAAGGGAAAATGAAAGCATTCCTGGCACGTCTGGTATTGTGGACCCTAAACTGCTGGCAGAACATGTCTTGGCTGGGCAGAGCTCGCAGACCAATGAGGAAGAGAGGGAGGAGCTGCCAGTCTTAGTGAATGCTAGAGTGCACAGGGCAGAGATCTGCCAGACTGATGGGGAAAGGCTCCGCCCCTCTTAATGGGCTATATTGGTAGAGGTTATTTAGCACAGTTGGCAGAGGGAGGCATTGCTAGAAACAATGTGTGGGTCATGGCCAGATAGTTGTTTGTGTTTCCAGGATTCTGCAGCTTGTGGATGTAATTTAGTTGCAGTGTTTATTTTTGGAACCTACCCAGGCAAAAGCTTTATTTCTAAGACTGTTTGTGGTTTGGCTGTAAGTTTGTTTTCCTTTTGGTTATCTAACTGGTTGCGAGCCAATTACGAGCTTGTAGCTGGGGATTAACTGAAAACCTGAAATAGAACCGGGGGATCAGACTGAATAAACCTCTCTACACCAACCCTGATGTTTGGGTGAGTGGGAGCAGCATATGTTTACAGAGACTATTTGCAAAGCAATATAAGATCTATTCTAAAGATTAAAGAAAATATAGTTACTGATTTGGAAGGAAGGAAGCAAAAAGCAGGTGTAAGAAATCCCAGGGACAAAAATAAATGGCTGAAGGCGAACAGGAAGATTCAGTATACTGTTTGACTGTATTTACATTAGTATGATTTTGTGTAATAAGACTATGAATACTGTCTATGAAGAAGGCCTATGTGTAAAAGCCTGCATGGTCTTTAACAAATACAGTTTTTACCACGTTATTCTTCTGTCTTCAAACATTTGTTTACTTCCAAAGAGAAAGAAATAATAGAAGTCACTTGCTCATCTTTTTCAGATTTTTCTGAACAGTTATACTGTAAGTATTAATATTGTAAACAGCAATTTAAAAAACTGTTCTTCAGTCATACTTCAGTAACTCGAGATAAATACACAAACGTGTGAGGGGGGAAAGAACAAACTGATTCTTTTTAATAAATTAATATCATTCAAAATACAGTGCCAGAACATAATTCAGTTGAACATGCTAGTATGATCCATCATGAAGTATCTGGTCTCATGTGAGATTGGTGGTGCCTTACTTCTGATAGGGGTGCCTGGGATTAATTCCAGAGAAGCATCAGACAACCACTCCTCTGCACAAAGTATTCCTGAACAAAAGTTCTCTCCCCCAACCCCACAGAAAAAAAATAAGAGACAAACAATGTAAGGATATTTTTACAAAGACATAACTACAGTAATGTTAAATTAACAAAAATAAAGACACTATACTTTTGTTTATACTGGGGTAGGGGAAAATAAGCAGCAAGAACTAATATTCATGAGCCAATGTTTCTGAAATACAGAACATGGAGCTATTTACTGATCAAAAGCTCCACAGAGACCCGCACTTGGAAGGGCTAGCAATTCTTACTGCAAACCCAGCAATATCACTTCACACCTGGTAAACTACCAGCTGCTCGGAAGACCTGTATTCTAAATAAACAGGTATAAGTTAGTGAAAATACATGCACCTAGTCATCTTCATCATCAAATAGCTCGACTGAACCTGCAGTCATTTTGCCCTGCATATCACCATAAAATGGAAGATCTACCCTTCCTATCATAGGTAGATCCATGGGATTTTATTCTTTTACATGGTATTATTACACCAATACAACTGTGTGTATTGAATGCAGCACATTTCATTCAGCTATACAATCTATATAACAAGCACATACAGATATTTCCAGAACTCATTTAAATATAACTGGAAGGTATTTTGAGCAATTAATATAACATTCTAGAAATAGAAGCTGCTTTGTGAAAAGTTCCAGAACTCACTGTTTTCGCAGGAGTAAAAATTTAGACAATAAGCAGAGACTTTAAGCTTGAAATATAGATACATATAGATAATACATATAATCATGATACATATATGATCATACACATACAAACATATCACACACCTAAACATCTGTGTGTGTGTTGTGTGTGTGAGAGAGATTCCATCAACTATCAGAGGGACTGAGATTATGGAAGCATATCTAGTAAGATTTTTTACTAATTTAAACTCAATGGCCACAAAAAAAATTAGGGCATACATACAAGACAAGTTAACATTTCATTTTGCAGCTCTAGTCTCTCAAATACAATGTTCATTAGTTACAGGCATGCAGTCTTTGAATAAGGGAGCTATACAGGTGGCAGTGGAACATCTTCCTCAATTTCAAACTCATCATCTGTGTAAGGAAAGACTAGGTATGATGGAGGTTTCCATGTGGACTCTTCAAGACAAGATGGATATAGTTTTCCCACAGTGCATCGGAAGTCTTTTCCCAAATCCCAGAGTACCCGCTCAGATATATCCTGTCGCAAAAACCAACGATCAAGTTCCATGTCATATTGGTATGTAGCATACTTGGCTCTTTCATGCATATGAGTTTCTCGTATGAAGATACACAATGAGTTAGAAATCACAACAGCTCTGACACAGGGATCAGAATAACGCTTGGCAGGAATTTTGGCGGTCATTTGCCATTCATTTTTATTCACGTCATAAACTTCCACTGCTAAGGAAGGTCCAGTTACAGCCCGAGGACGTAATCCTATACCAAGATTGCCGCCAACATGCAAGCCTCCAATATAAAATATTTTATCCCGAAAAGCAGCAGCTGAAGCAAAGCATCTATTAGTTTGTCTTGTAGCCATTTCAACCCAAGCATCTGATCTGGGGAAGTAACAGTACATCAAATTGTGTGCCATTACATAAATGCAATTATGAAGAGCAACGGCTGTACTCCACTGCCAAGCACAGGGCAGAGGGCTTACCATAGTCCATTCATCTTTCTCAGTATCATATCTTTCTACAGTTCTTCTGTCAAGTTCTCCACCAACACTGTCTCCACCAATTGCATAGATAAGACCTTCACAGAAAACAAGAGACGGCTTTATACGAACAAATAGCATTGGACTCTTTGGAAACCATGTATTTTGTTGGGCATCAAACCAGTAAAAACAATTCACAGTACGGAAGGCAAATTGAAATTTGCTAGTTTTGCCATAGTTGATTTTTGTACTTTTCAGTGGGATTTGCCCACCCGCTATATAAATATCATTATCAGGAGTTACAAGTGTCCCAACTTTATGGAGATCAGCAGGAGGACTGCAGAGTTTGTAAACTTTTTCAGCCTGTGGGCTGTAACATACTGAAGAGTAAAGGTTACCAGGACTTTCAGCAGCAGCTTCAATGAAGATCATCATTTCCTCTTTAGTCATTCCAAGTCTTGGTTTAAAAAACTTCGGCATAGATTTATACAACCCTTGAACCACTACTGATTTATCATTTGGCGGTAAGCCTTGAAACCAAGCTCGTTGTGTAACTTCAGAAAGTGCATCAATTCTTATTTGGCTAAGAACTGATGACAAATACTGTGATCGGGATTCGGTATTATACTCCAGCCACAACATAGCAGCTTCACGAACTGTTTCTTCTTTTTCCACATTTAAATTGTCACTGCTCAAAATATCTATCAACAGATCATGTGAGAGCTGCATGAAAGCCTCTTGGTGATATACAAGTGTAAACTTGTGTTCTACCATTCTTTTAGCACTCTGTTTTAACTCCTCACAACTAAAAAGATCAGCAAAACTCAAAAGCCGCACACAGTTTTCAGCATTAATTTTTTTAATTAAATATTCCTTACACTGATGTAACACATCATCGACCTGCAATTAAAAAGATGTATAAATGAGAAGTGATCAAAACATTTTCATCATCTTCATACTTGTGGTTAATGATGAAAAAATGGATTGTAAAAATCTTAATTTCTATTTTCTGTCATATATTAAAATATTGGGTATCACATTAATCTAGGACTGTTTACTGTTAGCAGATTGTGGAAAGAATAGAAACTATCAAAATTTCTTTCTGAGACCAAATTGATCAATAGGAAGTAATAATACTGTGCAAAGTATCTAAAAGGAACTTCACAAAGTATATTGTGAAATACAAGCAAAGCACCCTTTCTTGAACTGTGCTAATGATTTACTTCCAGTACCACTGAACAACCAGAGAAAACTTTCAAAGAAGCTATATTGAGACTGCTGAAGAGCATAGTTGCTTTTACATTTTGAGGTGTGCTTCAATATATCCCAGTTATGCTTTCTAAAGTCTGACTTCACTTCAATGAATGCCTTCCACTGATCTAGTGAATAGGACTATGCAGATGATGCTCCTGATTTAGATACAAGTACAAGCATGTTCACTTTGCTTTGATGGGAAAACAATGAAGCTTGGAAAACCACACAGCTGCTTTAAAACAAAAGAATCTCATACACATTTCTGCACATTCTAAAAATCTCTTTCCAAGAGGTGAACCTTAAGAGTTCTAATTTTTCCCCAAACCACTGAAATTAATGCAAGAATGTCTACTCTTATGAAATTTTAGCTAGTCAGAATGAATTTCTGTACCAAGAAAGGTATTTTCCACTATGCATTTTTATTACTGAGGAGACTATTAACATCTCAGTAAGCAATAATTTTTTTCTATTATTTCTATATTAACAGAAGAGATGTCATGACATTTTAGTGTGAGTCATAGGTATCTAAATCTGCACAATAATTATTTGTTTAAACAGAAGGGTATAGTTGGAATTTCAAGAGTTGTTTTCATTTTTTCTTACCAATCTTGCACGTTACTTTATTGTTAAGTACAGTATTCAATTTTATTAAAGATATAACTTAGGAAAACATGTCTTAGAAAAGTTAGTATAAAATAATCTTACCTGTAGGAAACAAGCTGTTTCATAAAGCTGTTCAACTGTTGTGTCATTTATTGCCAAATTACCCGTATAAGCATAAGTTATTACGATCTGAAAAGTAGTTGCATCAACATTCCTCAGATGAATATGTGTTTGCTTGCTTTCACTCAGACCGCTCATGAACATTGCCCTGGATGAAAAAATAATATTGTAATCATCTTTAGTTCCTATGTAGTTGTTCCAGTATTCCAAAAATGGTTTGTGAATAGCATTCAATATGATTATCTTGTAAACTATTGATTCAAAATATATAGTTGTACGGTCTTATAAAAATTAATCATATTTTAGAAAGTCATAATACCCATATACCACCCATTGTCACTTTTAGAAATGTTAGCATTCAACACTACACACTATTTTCATTGCTAAAATAGAAAAATGCTTTTACTGTTTTCCCTGAACTATCAAAAATTAATTACAGATAGTCCTCGACTTACAATAGTTCATTTATGACTGTTCAACGTTACAACAGCACTGAAAAAATTAACTCATAACCATTTTTCATACTTACGATCATTGTAGCATCCCCAGGGTTATGTGATCAAAATGCAGACTCTAGAAAACTGACTCATATTTATGATGGTTGCAGAGTTTCAGAATTACTTTTGGACCTTCTGACAAGCAAAGTCAATGAGGAAGCCAGATTCACTTAATAACCATGCAACTTACCTAACAAATGTAGTGATTCACTTAACAATTTTGTCAAGAAAGGTTGTAAAATTAGGCAAAATTCTTTTACTAAATTGTCTTACTGAGTAACAGAAATGTTGGGTTCCTTTGCAAGTTTAAGGCTACCTATATTAAGAGCTGTTCAATTTTGTTCATATTAGTTCATGTTATAATTTCTGATGTTTAGAAAGCTAGAATCTGTTGACTCCTCTCCACAATGGCTGAAGAGTAACAACTTGCTTTCTCTTACTCATGATCATGACTCATGTTTGCTGCCAGAGCTGATTCTTTGGCAGTCTTGCCCCCTGCATTGGAACAGGGTCACTTAGGAATGATTGAAGATGACTTTTGAATGGATGTGGACCTACCCAGAAGGGAGAATCTTGAAGATTGCAACTCCTTGAGGGAGCAGCTGGAAAATCAGTGGTCTTTTTTACATCTCTTCCTACCAGCAGAATGTTTTCTTAAGCAGAATGTTTTCTTAATGTTTTCTTCTGGGACTTTTAACTTCACATTTGTGAAAATTTTTGTTCTTATTTTTAAAGGTTAATTGGTTGGCTGAATGTTGATTTATTTCAATCCCCCGCTGGATTCCGTCTGGTATTTTTTTTAGATTTTCTTTTTCTTTTTTTATTTGACTGCTCTTATCAATTTTTGCTTTTCCATATGGAAACATGGCATATGTCTCTGGATTTGTATTTTATTAACCTGAAAAAAGTTTTGGGACCAAAATAGTCAGAAAATATCTTTGTAGTTTAGTTGTTCCCTGCTTTATTTATCCACTCCACTGAGCAACAATTACAGAGAGAAGGAAGAGGCTGTCTTAGGGGAGGGGAGGGGAGACAGAGACTGCAGCACATGCAATCTTTAGCTGATTTTTTTCCCCAAATGTTTTGATGAACTAATAAAGATCATGGAAAACATTCTGAAGAAACTGACCTTAAATACTTTAAATCCAGAAAAAAAACTTGTTTTAAAAATAGCAGCTTCAAAGCAAGAAATAATAGACTCAGAAGCAACACAGACTGTGGAAAACCTTCTGAACGAATGTAATTTCCCAGTAGTAAACCGGTCGTGAAGAAATATAGACTTAGAAATAACAGTGTCAACTTCATACACCTTCCTGAAGCTCAATACTGTGCTTTTATATAATAGCAGAGAACTCTCTGGTAGCAAGAGAATGGTAAAAGGGCTTTTTAAAGGGGTCTGAAGGAGAATGGGAAATTGACCTATTATATTTAATTGAGGAACAATCTTATCTGGTTATTTTTTAGAAGATACATTAGCTTTGGAGATTGGACTTATTGTATTCAATCAATCAGAAATTGATAAAAGAAGATATAAAGAAACAAACATATTTGATCCAGGACCGGTTAGGGTTATTATTTGAGATGATTTGGGATTAAAGCCATGGTAAATTTTCTATGAGTTGATTTAAGTTTTTTAACACAGGGTTTTGGAATTTCAACCTTGTTTTTCTGTTATTAATTTTTATTAGATTTATAATTTCATATATTACCATTTTTCCTGTTAACAATTTTGTTATTAATCTAGTATACAGATGACTGGCTACCAATCTTTAGATTTAGTAGTTTAATAGTTTAAAATTCTTCTTGCCTATTTTGCAAGGGGTGGAAAACTAACACTGATGTATTTATATTAATCAGCATTCAATGAGGGCAAATATTATGTGTTAATCTTTTCTTGTTTTTTAACATACCTTTGCTTTTCAATGTACTCTTTATTGTGGGTTTTATTCTTTTAAATATTTCAGCAGTTTATATTTTAACTTTCTTTGAATAATCTAAAAAATTGTCTGAAAAAAAAGCTGGAATCTGTTTTACCAGAGATACTTGCCTAGTTTCCTCTACAAGGAAGCAAGCCATAGAAGAAAAACATTCTATCCCAATATCTTGCAAATCAATGCAGAATATATGGACCAAGCCTTAGGCTTAACTAACACTGCAACCATTTCATAACAAATCTTATCAAGTAACTTTACAGTTATCTAGTGGTTTCCTATAACTGGAAGGAGGGCCTATGTTGATGCAAAATATTATATAAATTAGGCATGCAGGTGGATAAGCTTTAAGCACCATCTCCTATTATGCGAAACACCCCTCTAAATAGTGGTGAGATATGCAAAACACCCCTCTAAATAGTGGTGGGATTAGAATGCAATATTGCAGACAAACCCTGCCCATAGCCTGGAGTTTGATCATGGTGAGTCTCAAGGCTGACTCAACCTTCCATCTTTCTGAGATCGGTAAAATCAGGATCCAGATTGTTGGGGTAAAATGCAAATAATGTTCACATTGTAAACTGTTCAGAGAAAGCTATAAAGCAGTATAGAGCAGTATGCAAGACTAAATGATATTGCTAATATACTTTGGAGAATACTAATTGTCAAATTCATGGATATAAATGTTTTACATTGTATTAATGGTATCCCATTCCAGTTCAAATAAGGGAACCTGTAGTCAAGTCTGTTTGCTTTCAACCTTATAATTGGCCTAGTCTTCATGTTGCCTAATACTGATCAACTTTCCTTCAAAATCATTTTATATCCCTAGTCAAGATAAGCTTTCCATTTCAATTTGTCTTTAAGATTTACCTTTTTGAGATTTCTTTTAGTTAAACACTACTGTCTTCTTCATTTATAACAGAAACAATGCCCTATAAGCTGTATGTGATCTCAAGAGATTCCAGAGATCTCCAAAACCTGTTATTAAATTGTAATTTTAAATGACAGAGGGAAAACATTATTAAATATGTTACTAGGGAATAGCCATAGCACTTAAGACTTATATATCACAGAGCTTTACAGCCCTCTCTAAGTGGTTTACAGTTAGAATATTAGGTCATGGGTCCTCATTTTACTGACCTCGGAAGGCTGAGTCAAGCTTGAACCAGTGAGGATCGAACCTCTGCCAGTCAGCAGAATTAGTATGCAATACTGCATTCTAACTACTGCACCACCACAGCTCATTAACTCATTAACTATATTTTAATTCAAACCAAAATAAATTTTAAAATAAACTGCCCACCAAATTAATGAGTTGTTTTTGAGATGTCAGATAAGTCAATAATTAAATATATCACATAAAAGTGGCGGATTGCAGCAAAATGCTTCATTTATACATATTTCATTTGTCCAATAAAAAAGTTAAAGTTGAGCTAGATAGACAACATAATGGATGGACAAATTTGAAGAATTTTTGGTTGCAATGTTGCCAGTTTTCCTCTGAGAGGGTGTATAAGATGTTTTGAAATTCCAAAGATACATAGGGATTTCAAAAATTTGCCTATTCCTCCCTCATCACATGACTATGTTTAAATAAACCTCATATATTTGATGTCCATTTTTATCTTCCATATTGTGAATAACCCTGAAACACTTAATATGCATTATGTTCAATTTTTTCATATTTGTTAACCTGAGTTTAAACTGCATAATAACTTAGTTCTTCATTTATTTCAAGTTAGTGGTAGAATGCACAATACATTATTCAGACATATTTTGGATACTTGGGAAAAATAGCGTTACTATAAACACATACCTGAAGTAAGAGCTGCACGTAGCAAGAACCATCTTATGACATGGGAATTCAGTGCCCTCAACAATTAAAACAATGTCAGTTAGCAATTGCTGTTCGTAGAATGATTTTAACTGTTCTAACAAAGCAACAGCATAGTCTGTGTTGATCTGTATTCCTTCATGAGTAGACATGACTGCATTCCATTTAATATCTCCAAGACAAGATTAGAGAAAGCCAGTTGATTTCAGAAGAGATCAAGCTACCTTTCCTGAATAATTAAGAACTATAGAGAGTACTATATGAAGTGTTTTTAAGCTTTCTTAACATACTTATGGATAATAGATTGGCCTGCTGAATTGAGAATGCTTCATATTTTGACCCATTCCTAGAGTCTAATACATTGACCTGATGTCCGTATATTCTCCTGAGACTTTCAAAAATAACTGACAAGTTCCTGTTGAGATCTCCAGTGATGCAGCACATGGGCAAACAAACGGAATTTGTGAGGTAGATTTTCTTGAACCATCTCTTAACAATGACTTGCAACTAGAAGGGGGAAAAAAATCATGTCAGATATTTTTTCCTAAGCCAAGCAACTATGATTTTGCCTGAAATAGTGCCTGGTATACCACTTTCTACAATTATCTGCTTGTTTTATGAAGGACAGGAGCAGAGGTTGTTCAATACTTTCTCAAGATCAATTTATTAGGAACATGGACAACTACAATTGAGATACTAAATAAACAGTACATAGTATATAAAAACAATCAGAATTTCCTTTAATTTCACTGAGAAAATATACTAAAGCACTGATTTAAGATTCCATAAAAATGTAAACTGACCACAAACTTCAACAGAGAGATCATTTGATTTAGAATCAAATATTAATCTAAAGTCATAAAATGGAAAGCTAACTATCTAATTTCACATGTTTAACATTCAAAAATTTTAACTGAGGAAGGACTACATTTCAGTTATTCATTATCACATTAAAATATGATAAAACATCAATATTCTTTGTAAAATATAATCTATTTATTGTAAAAAAAACCTGTGTGATCATGCCTGCCTTCTCCAAAACCTGCTAGGACATATCTGTGATTTATAACATATAGGTATATTAAATACCAAATAAATTTTAGCCTGAATCACTGTTTTTTATTCCCAGTAAATAAAAGTAGATATTGACAAGCATGTATAACAAGTAGGGGTACTTTTGACATCCCTTAAGTGTTACATTGCAAAGCAGAAGTTTTCCAACAGTTTGGAGTAGTTTTAACATGATAACCCCATCTTTCTCTCTTCACCACAAAGAAAAATTATTATAAATTTTAGTATCAAAATCAATTGAGAGATTCATTAAAATTGACAGCTACTCACAAGAACAGCCAAGCCAATTCAATTCATAAACAAAATTTGAAGTTAGATTGAAACAGATCTCACTAGTGCATTTGTGTAAGTGTAGATACCGGTAATTCATTTGCATTTCCTCATTCATTTTCCCCAATAATACAATATCTAAGATTATATAATTAGCTAAATACACAGATATTTAAAAGATTTTGAGATTATGAATATGCAATTATTCCCTTGAGGGGCTTTCTATCCAGGCATCCTTTATTTAAGTATTAAGTTTAAAAAAAACCAATCACAAGCTGTTGTAAACTTAGGCAATTATCTATGTAAAAGTTCTTTCCAAATCTTAAGAGATAAAATAAACCCATAGCATTTTTACTGTAGAAACTGAACCAGAAAACATTTCCAGCATAATTAGAATTGTAAATCAAAATGAATATAAATTATTTTATATTAGTTATAAAAATCTAATGAACTACTTGGAAGCAACTACCCTTTGGCCACCCTTACAGGTTACATGTTATGAGAAAAAAATGGAAGAGGAAGTGCTATGTGCAATACTTTCACCTGTATTTTAAAAATAAATAAATAATTGTACAGTGGACTTCACCAATTGATTTTAGCAGATCTCCAAAATGTTTAACTTTGATGGAAGCCAGTTTAAAGAGAGCTTTCAGATCACAGCAAATTGGGTAAAGCAACACTAAGAAGATATTGATAGAAGAAAAAAGAGCCAGAGAATCATGTACTGGCAACTCGTTTTATCCATCCACATTCTCTGATAGGCATCTGAACTTTCTCAACTTTCTCACAGATTCTTTAAATGGCCTTAAATATTTTTTTAATATTTCAGCTAATCCCAATTTATTTAAATCCTATTTAGGTTTGACAATCAAGCCAGTTCTTACAATCCTTTTAATCCTACTCATTCTGCTTGTATATTTCTTTCAATGTATAGATATTGGATTTAGTCACAGGCAAGCATGAACAATAATGTAATAAGAAGTCCTTGGTGGTCTCCAAGCTTGGTTGTTTTCTTGCAGACGTTTCATTACCCAAACTAGCACTGATGATGTTACCTAGTTTGAGTAATGAAACATCTGCAAGAAAATAACAAAGCTCAGAGACCACCAAAAACCCTCATGTCAACTCTCAGCTACAAATATTTTCCTTTGTTGATAAAATTGTAAATTTGCAACAGCCTATTTAATTGGGATTAATATTTATGACATTCTGGGAAGCTGAAGCATTATGAAAATAATCAGCCCTATTATGTGGAGTTGCTTTGAATAATAATTTACTCTTTGAAAAATTCTATTGCTGAAATTATCAGTCCTTATTTCTCCATTTAGAGCCAGAGGTTATTTTGGCTAAGACATGCATACATAAATGCATTTTTGCCATACATCCCCAAAATAGCCATCTTCAATCATACTTTTTGGCACAAAAAGGCAGGTTAACTCTTGTTTTGACACTGGGCTTTGGGTACCAGGACTATGCGTGCTTTACAAATGATTCAGAAAAATGATTCAGACTTTTTCTGAATCCTGAATAAAACAGCCCAACTTTGTTCAAGCATGAAAAAAAGTTACAGTTTTAAGGATTGATTTTATTAAATGTAGCACTTTTTTCAGGACCGATGAAAGACTGAAAAATGCTAAGCTGCTTTTATAAAAGACAAATAAGCAACAACAGGGCTATGAGATTCTGAAAGGAAAAATATCATTTGGAGCAGAAATCACCAACCAGTGGTCTACGGACTAGAAAATTTTGGTGGTCAGCAGCGCACCCAGATGGAGGAGCTGCTTTGGGATGACCAATGGGCCAGTCCTGTGATTAGAGTTATACTGGAATATGGGACTAGCCAGACAACTTGTGGTGGGGCTGGAAATTTCCGCTGTAGAAGGAGATATGTGCAACTTGCATCTTTGCAAGTAGTTAATGTGCAAGGAATAGTGCAGCCCTCACTGGCCGGAATGAGGTAATGGTGCTGTTGCAGCAAGTGGGGGGGTGGCGCAGGCAGGCCGAAGCAACGGGTGTCAGCACCCGCAGCTGTTTCATCTTTCTGCTATGACTCCGTCAGCTGAACCCATCACTGGCCTGGCCTGGCCCACCCCTCCCCCTCCCCCCGTCACTCCTCACCTGGCTTGAAAAGGTAAGGATGAAGAATGGAGATTCGCTCCATATTCCAGGGTGGGAGCGAAGCTTCATCTCTTGCTGGGTTTCATGGGCATTTCCTCCGGCCCTTATTGGTGCTGTGTGCACCTCGATCGCTCAGGGAGGCACATGACTTTCTCTCTGCCCCAAGATACTGGCCCAGCCCGGCCGTTTCTCTCTGCCACTGCTGTTGGCACCCTCATGGCCTGCCCACTGCTCTTGCAGCGTCTTGCACAGCACAGTTAAATTTAGTGTGCTTCACAATGGGGGAGCATTGGCCGCAGCTCTGTCAGGCAAGTGTCTTGGGATGGAGAGCAGGTCATGCATCTCCCTGAGCGACCAAACTGCATCCAGCACCACAAAGGCCAAAGTACCTGTGAGACCGCAGAAGAATCAGAATGAGAGATGAGAGAGAGAGAAAGAGAGAGAGAAAGAGAGAGAGAAAGAGAAACAAACAGATACAGATGAGAGAGGGAGATAGGAGAGATACAGAGAAAGATGAGAGAGGTGAGAGATGAGAAAAACGGAGGGAGAGATCCCAGTGTTTTATTTTCTGTGGGAAACTGGTCCAAATGGTTCTTTGAGTGTTTAAGGTTGCAGAAACAGGCGGCCAAGCTAAGTGCCTGAAGGACCCCATACCATCACTGGGAGTCCAAGCATTTCAGGGAGCGGTGCGCTGGATTCATATTACGGGATTTAAAATTATGAATTTAATGGCCCCTAAGGTCCACAAAGTTGGTGACTCCTGCTTTGGAGCACACTAAGAAAATTACAGAGCAACTCCTTAAACCAGCTAAATCTTTTCCTAAGATTCCTAAACTGCCCTCTGTGGTACAGAGTAATCATTTGGCTCAAGTAAGGCATTGCTAACGACTGCTCTTTAAACAGTTAAATCTGCACAGTCCTACTATCTTTTTTTTTAGCTGTGCCTCTCATTTTTCCTTACTGAGCAAAATTATCTAAATGGTTGAATTATTTTCTTTCAGACATTGCCACTAATTCAAAGAAATAAAACCACTAAAGATATTAAGGTAACAGTTTCCCAAACTGTGAAGTTGCCTTTTCCATTATTGCTACATTTTTGTTTCAAGTTAAAACTTTCCCTTCTATAGGACAACTGTTTTTGTAAATTAGCCCATACATCATTTAAAACTCAGTATGAATGTTGCAACAAAACCTGCATTTTTGCTAAATGATAATTTAATTAGAAATAGTTCACTAGTAAATGGGTCAAAAATAAAAATGACAAACTGCAGCCATGGGGTGTGGGTGGCTGCTTAGAAAGTAAGTAATCATTAAAAGTAAATAATCATCAAAATTCTTTAACTGTATTATTTAGAACTTAGTTATTTACTATTCCCAGTAGGACACTATATAATCTGTCCAATAGTCTCATATCTAATAGACTAGGGGTCACCAACCTTTTGGACTTCAGGGACCACCAAACTCATACTTTTAAATCCCGAGGACCACTAATATGATTTTTTTTTAAGTTAATATATTTAATATAAAAACTTATATTAAATATAAATTTATATTAAATATATATACACACACACTTAATTATAACAAAAATGTAAATGCTTAATGATAACAAAGTAAAATGTTCCGGGCTGGAAGTCTCCCCCCACCTGCACCTTCCAAAGAGACAGAAGAGCGGAGCTGAGGGGCCTCGGGGCAACTGCCACTGGGAGAAGCAGAGACAGAAAGGGGGCTTTGCTCTCCTTGGTGGGCAGCGCTCCTTGGCCACCACTCCAGGGGCTTCTCAGCAGGCATCTACCTACAGAAGGACTGCTGCCCTCGGCGATTAATTGGGGGAGGAGTGGGGGAGAAATTTGGAGCTCCTTTCAGATTCCAGGTGGACGATTGAGAGAGAGCTCAGATCTGCAGCTGAGGAAAAGCTGGGGAGGGCTCTTCCAGCCTCACCTGGAGACAGGCAAGGAAATGTGTCTCTGGGGACACTTCGCTCACTTTAGTGCTGCTGCCAAACCCAGCCACAGCCAATGATTATTTGGGGGCAGGGGAGGGGAGAGAGAGAGAGAGAGAGAGAGAGAGCTTCTCTCTCATTACCAGGGGAGGAAAGGAGGTGAAACAAAGCTCACTCTTTCACCAAGACCTACAGAACGCCAATCTACTGCATACTAGGAGTTCTTTGAAATCACTCGCAGTTCTCACTCTTCCCAGCTCTTCAAGGCTTCGATGTCCCAGCTCTTCAAGGGACATCAAAGCCTCAGAGATGCAGGCAAAGTTGCCACAGCAGTAGTGCCCAAGTTGCCTTAGCATACTCAGTTAGTTCAGAATCGCCCTACCCAGAGAAAGAGATACTGGAGGAGGAGGAAGTAGCGGAAAAGCAAACAACTCAGGGTGCTACCACTGCGGCGGCTTTGCCTGCATCTCCAAGGCTTCGATGTTGGGAGAGGCAGCGAGGGCTGGAGGAGCTGAGAACTGCACACGGCTCCGTCTCCCTTTCCTTGCCTGCCTACACATGGGTGCAGGGGGGGGAGGGGGAAAGAAAGAGAGAGAGGCAGGAGCAATTCAAAGCTAGAGAAGTAATGGGGAGAGCTAACAGTGGGCAATGGGGGAAGGGACTGTTGTTGCCATCACCCACCATGTGTGGGAGCTGGTTGGTTCGAGCATCTCGGGGACCTAACTCCAGGGTCCCTTGAAGAGCCGGAAGAGCTGCGCAGCCCAGATTAATTGCTTTCGGGAGCCATTTCTTCTGTGGCCCACCAAAAAGTTTCCACAGCCCACCTGTTGGTGACCACTGTAATAGACTAATACTGTACTGCAAATTAAGTTCTCACTATAGTTTGATTACTTTTGGCCCGAAATTTAAAAAGTTGCTATTCCTTATTAATTATACTTTTTTTAAATTAACAAACCTTTCCCCTCTCCTAGAGTGGGAAATACCTTTTTTAATCCTCTCTGGCATGCAAAATCATTGCATAACCACTGACAATTAAACCCACCCTACCTGCTTTTCTTTTAGGGGGGCTATGAATTATTCTAACTGCAGCTGGGCAAGGGTTTCAGGTGAGCACAGCCAACTTAGTATTTGCACAGCAGAATCAGGATACCACTTTCAAAGCAATAAGGTACCCTGACCCATACCCCATCAGAATGTCATCCTATGGCCAGGCAAACCAAGTTATTCAGCTTCTCTCTTTTCCCGTCCTATGCTACGTATCTCGAAAATCACCTCTGTCAGTCCCTCTGGAGCAAAGCACCTTGTGTCAGGGTTTAGCCGCAATATGACTTCAGAAGAAGCCAGGAAACAGCGGTGCTGTTGCCCATAGCAGGATCTCACCCAGGCTGTCGCTGTACCGCCGCATGATGATAAAAGAAACCGGAGGGCGGGATATATTGACCTGGTCCACTAAGCGCATAGACTATCACTTCCCTGCCCATTCAGCCGCTTCTGCTGCCCCGGCAACCGCCGGACTCCAAGGACACAGCAGAAAAGGCGATTCTCCCAACTTCCTTACCCCACTCAGCGAAAGCACCCATTTCCTCCTTCCTTCAGGCGGTTACTCGCAGGTCACAGCCCGCCTCCGAGAACCAAGTTTGGAAAGCAAAGAAAGAGAATGAACACGCCCCACACCGTCTTCTCCACAACTCTCGCCGAGCAAGGCCTGCAGAAGGGAAAGGTGAGATGATGGAGGAAGGGAAAAGGAGGGGACGGGAAGCGAGTTCCCCGCTCCTTCCTCCCAGCTTCCGGCCTGCTTTGTCGCTTGTTTAAACCCCATAGCTTCCTCCTGGCCATAGAGTAGGAGGTGGCGGGACTATTGGGGAAGGGACGCAAGGCGACTGCATGCAACCTCACCTAGTTCTTCCCCCGCCCTAACGTCCGCTGAATAATACCGAACGAGCAAGAAGCACCATTCAGAGCTCTTCGATCCCAGGGTAGTGCAGACTCCGAACAAGAGAATCGGACGTGGGTGGGAGATGAAGAAATCACCTTCTTGTTGAGGTATAGCTCCGCCTCCGCTTCCCCCCTGCGCTTGCGCATTCTGTCTTCCTTTTCCCCTACATTGGGAAAGCAACTCCTTCCAATAATGCGCATGTTCACTTGTACTTTTAGGCGCTCTCTCGAAAATAGACTTTAGTTAAAAATACTTGGGTTATTGCTTCTAGTTCGTCCCTTCCTAAAACGTTTACCTCAAACGCGAGACTTAATCGAAGTTCAGCGTTATACGCAACCTGTACTTTCAAATGATATTGGAAGCCTTTTTTTTTTAATGAGATGGCTCCCTACACCGGAAGCCCGAGTTTTGTCTTTTGCTCTAGCAGTTGGGGTGCTGTCAAACGGGTGGGCGGGGTCCTTTCCTGTACCAGAATTGAAACTTTATTTTATATCATTATGCGGTTTGGTTTGGGCTGATCGTATTTTGTATATTTTGCAAAACTATACCTGGAGTGACTTCAATGCAGCAAAACAAACTGGTTTGGTACAGTTTGTGATCTTAGCCATTATGTTAAAGAAAAACTGCATTTTAATTACTTAGAGATTTTTAGCGTGAACGTATTTAATAAGCTAAATGTAATAATACTGCCTGGAATTTTAGGCTTTGTTATTAGCATTTTAAAATGTGATATTAGCACTTTTAACATGGCAGTCTAGGTATCTAACTTCTAGATCCTGACTGAGATCCTTCCTTGAATCCACCATAAGATCTTTGTAGAGATCACTTCTGGGATTACCTCCATGCCGACATGTTCTCTTCCAGGATCATATTCAAGGATGAAATAAGACTCAGGCTGTCCCAGTCCAATCTGATGTGTATCAGCAAGTCACCCTCCCTGCTTGGAAATGGTGGTCGTTTCAGGATTGCACCATGCAGTCAGCAATGAAGTGGCTTGATTTGCTTCACTTAATGCAAGTTCAGCAACATTCTGAAGCAAAGCAAACTATTGCTGGCCTGCATGGCACAATCCCAGAAGTTTCTTCAGAAAATGGTGTCCGCTTCCAGAATTGTGCCACATGGCCCAGCGATGTAGTAGCCTGCCTTTCTTTACCTATCCTGATTTGTTGAGATCTCTAAAAGGTAAGTTAGGAAGAGAATATAGGTCCCAGTGGGAAGGAAAGCAGGCCCAAGGCCTGCATGGACCCAATTGGTGGATAAGAGTGGAAGGGCATTACAGAATCCTTGCGGTAGGACATAAGGGCAAACAATCCCAATGCAGATGTAACCAGGACTGGATCATAACTACTTTTTGGGGGGTGTACCTGTAACTTTGAACAGTTGCTAACTGAATGACTGACTGAACTGAGTGTCAGCTGTATCACTAGAGGCAAGCTACTCAACATTAAAACATCTACCATGAGCAGCTTGGGGGCACTGATCATTGTATGATTCACCGCATATAGATAGAAAGTGCTAGTATGAGAAGTTTTCTGTGAAACAGGCTTGAGCAATAAAGTAACTAGTTTATACATGTGAGTCTGGTTGTTCTCAGTTGACAGTAGTCCTTCACCTATGACTGTAAAAGCCTGGCCAGCTCAGTCATAAGACATGATGGCTGTTAAACCAGAGGGCCTCTCTTAATAACTTCCCCCATCCCTTCCTCTCCCTGATGCAGTTGTTAAACAAATATGTAGATCATTAAGCAGAGTACTGGGTACCTCAGGAGTGGGACAGATCTAGTGTAGGTATAGCCCCACCTGCCACAGGTCTCCCAAGACACTCCCCATCCTGAGACACTCTGTGCTCACATCCCACTCCTTAGAATCCCACAACCCTTAGGTCTGCTTCCCCACTCCAATGTCACCCTGCAGACCTTCCTCAAACAAACCAGATTCCTACAAGCTTTACCTCTCCCCCCACTGCCCCCAGCCCCTGCAGGCCTTTATCCAACCACTGGATCCTGCCCCCCTCCCACACCAGTCCCTGCAGGGCTTGGGCCTTTTCCTCACCCACCATCACTCACTGCACACTTACCTTTTAAAGATCTTTGGAGCTCTCAAGTTTTCTGCAGTACAATTCCCAGATTAGGTAATCAGAATAGACCCTGGGCGCAGTGATTAGCCACTCCATTCTGCTTTCCTAACAAAGTCTCCACAGGACTGTGGAAAGCTCTGGATGTTTCCTCAGTGTTGTACAGATTGCTTTGGGGAAACAGAATGCACAGTTCATCCTTGATCTGGACAGCAACTTTTCAGAAACAGTCGTCCTTTCAGCATAAACACAAAAAATTGTAAGCCTGCTGAAAATGGCAGCTTCTTCCAAGAGGCCACCACATGGCCCAGGGACAGGGGCCTTCCCTCCTTACCCAACATGGTGGGATTTTCAAAAAATAAAGCGTGTGATGGATGAGAGATAGGTGGATAGCAGTTTAAAGGTCTGTGGGACTTTTTACATGCATTAGTCATTCTGACATGTATGAGTTCTGTTGAATATTCAATAGGGAGTGGATTCTGACGTAAGAACACTCATTTCCCCAGCAGGAAATTGAAGTATTGTCAGTGACTTAAATACCAGACAGCTCCAGTTAAAAAAGCAGGGAGCCAGCAGCAACTTAGCCACTTGTTTCTGCATCTTCAATAAGGAACTATTTATATGGTCCTAAGTGTCCTGCCTCTTCAATTGACCCCCCCCCCCCATAACTTAATACTAGCAATGAGGATCAGATTCTAGAAGAGAACAAAGGATGAGGGACTCCGCATGGCATCTGCAGCAATCTTCTCAAAAAGCACACCTGCAAATGCATCAGTCAGATCCAGGATGACCACGCACTGCCAGCTCCATTCAAACCGGCCGATGAGAAATGGTCCTCATATATGGTCGATTTAGGATGCTCCTGGAAGCCAACAGTCTCCAGGATTTGTTGCATCCCTGGAAAAGAGCACTTTTCCTAAGTTACTGCGGTCCACAGATGTACGAAATAGCAGAAAACCTAGTCTCACCCACAGATGTAGAGACTATATCATGGGCAACGCTGCAAGAGACACTTAAGGAATATTTTGAACCCTCTGCATCACCACTAGTTTGCAGACATGACTTCTATATCAGAAGCCAACAAGCAAGGGAGACAATAAATGAGTTTGTGACTGCCCTGAGAAAACTTGCAACCAACTGTGAATTTCCAAATGTGGAAGACATGATACAAGATAGGCTCATATTAGGAATGACGGACTTAAACCTACAAAAACGTCTATAGCAAGGAACAGTGTCCTATTTAAAGACGCTGTTGAGGAAGCCTGAGCACTTGAAACCTCAGATAGATCTGCCACCAAAATTCATCTAGGGGAGTGACTGCCAAGGAGTACAAGGGAGCACAGAAAACAACGAAAGCACTGAGGAGGAGGAAGACATTTACCAGATAAAGATCAGCAAAAAGGTAGGACAGTCGGAAACGGGGCAGAGACCTCCTTGGTGTGCTGGCTGTGGGGGGAATCACCCCAGGGTGGCTTGCAGGTTTAACACTATCTGCCAGAGGTGTGATCACAAGGGTTACATAGCCAAGGCATGCAGAGCGAGCAAGCCAACTTATCACCAACAGAGGCAACTTTGGTCCCCCATGCATCTGTATGGCCCCAGATGTGTTTCTGGAAAGCACCAAACTCAAAATATAACTGGAGAGAAGACCGAAACGAGGAAGCTAGGGAAACCCATCAAACGATAGTGGGGCATTCTGACATGTATAAATTAAAAAAAAACACCATATCATCATGCAACTTGAAGGAAAACCATGCAACATGGAGGTGATACAGGATTTTATATTTCCATGGTGTCCTGGTCCACTATCAAAAAAGCAGTCTCGAGCATCATTCCAAAACAGCTAAAACCGCAAAAGACACTTAGATTATCAGGGAAATCGCATCCCAGTATTAGGGAGAGAGTTATTCAAGATTAAGTTTAAAGAGTTTACAGGCTCATTACCGTTGACTGTATTGGATAAGGACCTCCCCAGCTTCCTAGGAATCGAGTAGTTCGAGGCCCTGGGACTAGGTATGACTGGCATCAACGCCGTCCAAAGAGATGACTTCGAAATGCTGGAATCTAAATGTGATAAATGCCAAAAAATAGACTCGACAACCAAAGAACCATAAAAAGCTTTATTCAGAAAATTTGCAAATATCAGAATAGAACCCCATCTCCTTAACATTAGGAGATGAAGACACCACACCCAAAATGGTTATTGCTTTTATAGAATATCACATTCAGAGGATTACATAATTCTTCCTATTATGCTCTTTCAGTATTTTTAGGGGTTTTCTGCAGTAAATTTCCACTCTAGCTCCGCCCAACATATCATCTCTGGCCTTGTCTTCCTGTTATGCCCATTTTAACACAATGGATCATTAACAGGTTCCACTGAGTCAGGATAACCCTGCATCTCTCACATGTATCTGTAAGCCAAGGAAAATACAGGCCCCCTGTTCTCACCAAAAACCTGACATTTACTTAAGAACATAACAAGTTACAAAACATAATATGCTTATTAGTTCAAATATTGGATAAACATGGATTCCCTTCTGTTCTTCATTTTCTCAGGTGTAACTCACAATATATAATTTCCACGTATAACACCAAATTCAGGATGTCTTCAATGGAAGCCTAGGCAAGTACACGGGGACTCCTATATCTTTCAATTTAGACCCCCTAGCTGCCCTGTCCGACTGAAACCGCAAAGAGTCCCTTTTGCTCTGCAGCCCAAAGTTGATGGAACCGATTGACCACGCAAAACTAGGCATGCACACCACTAACTACCTCTATTCCAACCACAACTGGTCTTAAATGCAAGCTACTCAATGCATGAAGCCTTGTAAATAAAATACCTGAATTTCTCCTCTTACTAAATATGGCTAAATTCAACATTATATTTGTCTGTGAAACATGGCTCAACGCATCTCTCCCTGACTTCATTACCACAGTAAGAGACTATCATGTTTACCAATCAAATCGTGAAATCTGCAGAGGAGGTGGTGTTGCTATCTTCTATAAAAAGTCCCTACATCTAAAAAACATCCAAGTTACCCAAGAGCTTGCTATTCCTG